TTTTTACATGTACATCGAGACTTCCTGGATGTTGAAAGCCTCATCCCAATGATTTCCCCTTGTATTTTTCCGGGTTTTCAGTGGTGTTGAACTCCTCATCCCAATGATTTCCCTTGGGATTTTCCCAGGATTTCACAGATGTTGAACTCCCCATCCCAACGATTTCCCCTTGGATTTTCCCAGGTTTTTACATGTACGAGAATTCCTGGATGTTGAAGGCCTCATCCCAATGATTTCCCCTTGGATTTTCACAGGTTTTCACAGGTGTTGAAGGCCTCATCTCAATGATTTCCCTTGGATTTTACAGATTTTTACATGTACATCGAGAATTCCTGGATGTTGAAAACATCCATGGTTTCCCTTCAGATTTTTCCAGGTTTTTACAGGTGTTGAGGGCCTCATCCCAATTATTTCCCTTTGGATTTTCCCAGGTTTTCAGTGGTGTTGAACTCCCCATCCCAACGATTTCCCCTTGGATTTTTCCCAGGTTTTTACAGGTGTTGAAGTCCCCATCCCAATTATTTCCCCTTGGATTTTTCCAGGTTTTTAGAGGTGTTGAAGGCCTCATCTCAATGATTTCCCCTTGTATTTTTCCAGATTTTCGCAGGTGTTGAACTCCTCATCCCAACGATTTCCCTTGGGATTTTCCCAGGTTTTCACAGATGTTGAACTCCCCAAACCCAACGATTTCCCCTTGGATTTTTCCCAGGTTTTCACAGATGTTGAACTCCCCATCCCAACGATTTCCCCTTGGATTTTCCCAGGATTTCACAGATGTTGAAGTCCCCATCCCAATTATTTCCCCTTGGATTTTTCCAGGTTTTCACAGGTGTTGAAGTCCCCATCACAATTATTTCCCCTTGGATTTTTCCCAGGTTTTTACAGGTGTTGAACTCCCCAAACCCAACGATTTCCCCTTGGATTTTTCCAGGATTTCACAGATGTTGAACTCCTCATCCCAACGATTTCCCCTTGGATTTTCCCAGGTTTTTACATGTACATCGAGACATCCCGGCCCAGGCTGGAGGGGGAGAAGGCCAGGCTGGTCAGTCCCGTTTTCAGCGTCGCTCCCAAAAATCCCTACGGAGCCACCAACACAGCCTACTGCTTCAGCTTCTACTATCACATGTATGGACAGCACATAGGTGAGACAAAGCCAATTCCTTTGGGGAAAAATTGCTGGAAAAATCCCTCTTGTTTGGAGGAAAAGCCTGGGAACAGAGCCAGCCCTTCCAAGGGTTTCTTGTTTGAGGGCATCCAAATTGGGGCAACAATTCTGGTTTTCCACTCAAATCAGGAATTTGTAGGATGGAGGAATTTCTCATCTGAGTGGGATTTTAGGCAGGGAATTGCATGGGGGAGCCCATTGGTTTGAGTGGGAATTTTAGAGGTTGGAAAGGGAAAAGTTGATTTTAACGAGGATTTTTTTATTTTTATTTTTTTCCTGATTCTAACGGGATGTTTTAGGCATTCCTGATGGATTTGGGATCAGGCAGGGAGCAGCAGAGTTCCTCAGGAGTTTCCCATGGAAAAATCATGGAAAATTTGCCCAAAAGCCACAGGAATAGAGATTTTTCAAGGAGTATCTATAAATGTTTTAGGTCCTGACTAAATTTTAGATCAAGCCTGGAGCAGCAGCATTCCTCAGGAGTTTCCCATGGAAAAATCATGGAAAATTTGCCCAAAAGCCACAGGAATAGAGATTTTTCAAGGAGTATCTATAAATGTTTTAGGTCCTGACTAGATTTTAGATCAGGCAGGGAGCAGCAGCATTCCTCAGGAATTTCCCATGGAAAAATCATGGAAAGTTTTCTCAAAAGCCACAGGAAAAGAGATTTTCAAGGAGTATTTTTGAGTGTTTTAGGAATTTCTGAGTAGAATCAGGATCAGGCAGGAAGCAGCAGCATTCCTCAGGTGTTTCCTGTGGAAAAGTCATGGAAAATTTGCTGAAAACCTGCAGAAATAGGGATTTTCAAAGGGTACCTGCCAGTCTATTTTTAGTCGTGGCTCTTTCAACACTCACATTTAATTTCTTTTTGTGGTATGAAAAAAAAAAAAAAAAAAAAGAAAACTACGAAAATATAAAAGCCTGAACAACAAAAATCCAAATTTTTTTTTAAGTCCTTTGCAGGTTTCTTGGTGCTCCCAGTGTGCCAAGAGGTTTTCCAGTGTCAGAGTGACCTGGTTTGAGGTATTTTTATCTCTGTTTCAAGGGCAAACTCCTCCTCCCAGAGAGTTCTGGTCCTTGCTTTGTCTGAGCTCCCCCTGCCCCCAGGCAGAGCTCAGATTTTAAGCAGAGCAGACAAGAACACTCAGGGTTTTTTTTAGTTTTTTGGGTTTTGTTTTGTTTTTTTTGTCTCTGTTCTGCAGGAATGTGGATGCAGCTCCAGGTTGGAATTCTCCTGGCTCTGTGCTTGGTTTTTTGGTTTTTTGGTTTTTTTTGTTTTTTTTTGGTTTTTGTTTTTTTTATTGGAAGGATTCAGCCACTCCGTGCTGAGAGAAAAATATAGAAATTGCAATATCTGGTCATATTCTGGTTGTTTATTTCTGTATATTGTGAAGAAAAAAAACCTACAAACATAAAGGGTTAAAGAGTGTTTCTGGAATTCCTGAGAAATATTTGGAGTGTAAAGTTATTTGGGATAAGAGAAAGAAAACAGGCACTGAGGTTTGTCCAAAACCAGTGGGATTTGGGTTTTTTTTCCCCTGGATTTCCTCTTCAGGAAGTTTCTGTCCTTAGATTTTGGGGTTTTTTGCTGGGATCCCTTTTTCCCTGTGGAAATCCTTGAATTGCCAAGGCAAGGAAGGATCCAACCTGTGACAGAGGTGACAGAGGTGATCCATGACCACAATTCCACTGGATTTATTCCTGCAAATGTGAACGTGAATGGTCAAAATCCAGAATTGCTCAGTTTTACTTTGGTCCCTTAATTTTTAAAAAAATGCAGTTCCCATCATTTCAGCTAATGTTCCAAATTCCATCCTTATACAGAATCCCAGAATCCCAGACTGCTTTGGGTGGGCAGGGACCTCAAACTCATCCTGTCCAGCCTGGCCTTGGAAAGGTTTAGGATGATTTTATGCATTGGATAAATTCCTGGAGGAAAAGTGTGAAGATGATCAGGGACAGGAAAAGTGACAATGGGAATAAACTGAAATCGAGACAATTCCATTAAACATAAAATCCCTTTTTTTTTTTTTTTTTTTTTAGCTAGAAAGGGTCAAACACTGGCTGTCTCAAAGTGTGAGAGGAAGAGAAATACTCTGAATTTACAGAGCACACAGAGGCCCCACTGCCCCACACACCTGCAGGCAACCAGGGTGGCAAATAGCACCAAAACCCCAAATCCTGGGGATTTATGAACCCAGACCAGTGAAATTTGTTATTTTTTGGTGCACCAAGAGCACCTGGTTGTGTTCATGCCTGCAGGTGACCCTGGTGCCAAAAATGTCTGTGCTGGCACCAGTTTCATACAGTTCAACTCTGGGGGGGTTTTCCTGCACAGGGAGGGATTTTGGGGGTTGTTTGAACTCAGAGGGTGTTGTTGGCCTCCAGAAATATTCCAAGGGATCACCTCTCTCTCCCTGGGATGGATCTGCCAGGCTCTGGGGAGCTCCAGCAATGGGCAAAGCAAAGCTGGGTGGTTTTAACAAGCAAAAATTCAGAACAAACCACCCAAATGGCTGATTTGGCCCTGGATAAGGAGGTTTAATGCCAATTTCTTGCTCTAAACCACAGAAAATTCCTTTTCTGAGCTGCAGGGTGGGTGCTCAGTTCCCCTCTGCTGAGAGCTCCCATCACCACTTCCCAACATTCCTGAATTTTTAAAAAGCTTTTGAATTTATGCCAAGAAACTTCCACACCTCAGATCCATGGGGAAAAAAAAAAAAAAAAAAAAAAAAAGAGTGAGGAGGGTGAGGAGAGCACTCCAGGCAGATCCTTCCCAACTCCAGTTCTCCTCCTGTTTTTCAGGAAGTCTGAACGTTTACCTGAGGCTCAAAGGCCAGACTGCCATAGAAAACCCCCTGTGGTCCTCGAGTGGCAATAAGGGACAGCACTGGAACCAAGCCCGGGTGAACATCAACCCCCCCACCTCATTCCAGGTAAGGCTGGCACCTCCAGGAAATGGGAATTCGGGAATGTTGGGATTTTCTTGGGGGATTTCCCAGCTCTGGAAGCTGCTCAGGGACAGATCGTTGCTTTCCTTGAGCACCACGGAGTTTAGGAATGCTGGAACTCAGAGCAGTTTTCAGATGTGGGAGCTCTTCCAGTGGGTTTTGATTTCAGATTAGCAAGTGGAATATAAAATGATTGGCTGGGAGAAATTCCTTAAGGCCCCTGAGTTGGAGGTTTTTGGAAATACATGGATTTTCTGTGGGAACAGGGGAGATCTGGCAGTGCTTGCTGGGGCAGTGACAGGATTGTCACACATTTCCTGCTGGGGTTGACAGGGAGGTGCTGATGGACCTTTGGGGACAGTCCCCAGGCATGCCTGGAACTGGAACACTCCCAAAAAAGCAGCAGGTCCAGCTGTGGGGGAGGCTGGGAATGTCCCCATGGAATGTGGCAGTCATAAATTGTCCCTAAGTGCAGGGGTCTCCTCTGAGCCCTCCCTGGCACTCCCCGGTCCCCTAGGGGAGAAAATGTATTTTTGGGAAAAAGTCACAGACTGGTTTGGGTTTGAAGTGACCATGGATCCCATCCCACTGGATCCCATCCCATTGAATCCCATCCCACTGGATCCCATCCCATTGGATCCCATCCCATTGGATCCCATCCCACTGGATCCCATCCCACTGGATCCCATCCCATTGGATCCCATCCCACTGAGTCCCATCCCACTGGATCCCATCCCATCCCATCCCATCCCATCCCATCCCATCCCATCCCTACCATGGCCAGGACATCTCCCACTGTCCCAGGGAGCTCCAAGCCCCAATGTCCAACTTGACCTTGGAAAATTCCTTCAGTGCAAATCCAAACTGCTCTTCTAAAAATCCTCAGTGGGTTTCTCTTCCCTTTTTTGCAGGGAATTCCTGATCCTGACCCTCTGTTTTTATTTCCATGCATGAGAGGCATTGACAGGACAGGAATGGTTTTGTCCATGGGATTGCAGAGCAATTCCAAGGATGGGAATTAGGGGAAAATTGTAGGAGAGGGATCTGTGAAGTAGAGTGGGACATGGGAGAGCTGGGAATGTTCCCCTGGAGAGGAGAAGGATCCAGGGAGAGCTGAGGGCACCTAAAGGGGCTCCAGGAGAGCTGGAGAGGGGCTGGGGACAAGGGATGGAGGGACAGGACCCAGGGAATGGCTCCCAGTGCCAGAGGGCAGGGATGGATGGGATGTTGGGAATTGGGAATTCCTGGCTGGGCTGGAATTCCCAGAGTGGATCCCTGGCAGTGCCCAAGGCCAGGTTGGACACTGGGGTTGGACATTGGGACAGTGGGAGGTGTTCCAGGCTGGGATTTTGGGATGTTTGATGGGAACAAAGTGCCAGGAATGGGGAGAAGAGGAATTGCAAAGCTCAGGAGCGCTCAGAGCTCAGGCCAGGCACAAAAAGATCAGAGTGGTTGAACTCAGGATAAATCCAAGAATTCTGAAGAGTGAAGGAGAGGGAAGTGATTTAATATCTGAATAATAACTGCCTTGGGAAAGAGAAGGAAGAGATGGATTTGAGGGTTCTGAGGGGATTTTGGGGACCTGGGAAGGGCTTTAGAAAATCAGGGAAGAATCAGAGCCTTGGGCAGGGAAATGCAAAGGATTTGGCAGCACAATCCAAAGGAGTGGAGGAGGGAGATCCAAAGGGAAACTCCTCTCCTTGGCTGTTTTCCACCTTTAACATTGTTGTGTTTAAAGGTTTCAGCATAAAATAAATGTAAAGCTCTGACCAAATATAACAAATAAATGTCAGAGCTCTTGGAGCCTTAAATTACTTTTTTTTTTTTTTTTTTTAGCATCTCTTGCATCGAAGCAAATTTTATTTTCCATTTAGGAGTGTAAGTAGGAAGGAATATAAAGCTCCCAGTTAAATTTAAGGAGAGGGAATTGAAGTGAATCTTTGCAGTAAAACACTGCAGTGACATGGAAATTAAAACTTTTTATTGGGTAATTTATAGAGGTAAAATATTTTATGCCTCGTCAGTCCCTGTGATATAGAACAAAGCTTATGTCATGAGGAACTGCAGTGCTTTAAATCTCAAAAATGATGTGTGAATCTAGCTCAGATATTCAGATATTCAATATTTTTAAAGAATGAACACCTCGAAAATAGAGACCCCCCCCAAAAAAAGAGAGGGACACGCTGGTTCTGTCATCCAGGAAATGTCAATTTAATTCAGGTTTGAGCAGCAGGACATGGTGATGGTATGGATGATTGGGATTGGATTTATTGCTAATTTAGGATGGAAATATTGCAGCATGCAAACAAAAAATTCCAGGATTTATCCCAAAGCGTTGGGATCAGCAGGTCCTGGTCCCTCCTGTTGGGTCAGTGCCATCCCCTCACTGTCCGAGCTCCAGATGGGGCTCAGCTCGCCCAGGTTTGGTCATTTTGTGTCCAAAAAATTCCAATATCAGCAGGATGGGCTGGGAACATCCAGGTTTGCAGGATTCCCAATCCCAAATCACAAAAATGTTGTGGAGCCCCTTCAGGATTTATCTCCGTGTTTGAACGATCTCGGTGCTTTCACACACCCACCCAAAAGGGAATATTCCCAATTTCCAGGCTGGGGGTGTCCCTGACTGGGGAAATGTGGGATTCCCCAATTTGTCCCAGTTTGTCCCAGTCTCCAGCAGCATTTTAACCCCTTTTTCAGGTCGATGTGCACCGAGCTGAAACCTCTCAGCTCCCAACTTTGGGGGTGTCAATGACAGCCCCAAAACCCCTCCTGCAGCCCAGACCTGGGACCAGCTGGGATTGTCCTGGGACACCCCAAGGGCCCAGCAGGGAGAGGGAGAAGGGTGAGGGGGGCACCCAGGGGAGGATAAAACTCTGCCTGAAATCCTGTGGAAAAATCAGAGAATCCCAGACTAATTTGGGGATGGGAGGGATTAAAAATCAACTCACCCCACCCCTGCCATGGGTATGAACATTTTCTGTATCCCAGGCTGCTCCAAACCCTGTCCAAGCTGGCCTTGGACATTTCCAGGGATGAGGCAGAAGCTGAATCCCCCCCCCAAAAGACTCAGGATTGGCTTTTTAGGATCATAATTCCATTCCACTGAGAGCAGAGTGACCTTTCCTGTACCCACCCCCATTCTCCAGTTTGATGCAGCGTTTTTAACAGCAGCTTTCCAAAAGCACAATGGGGATTTTTTTTCCTTTTTTTTTTTTTTTTTTTTTTTGGGATACTGATGGATAATTCTGCTCAATTGGCACCTCCTGCCCATCCCTGGGAGCTGCAGGCTGGGTTCAGCTCCATGCCCTGCCAACTCCTGTGCTGTGATTTCTTCTGAGTGTGGAGCAACCCCTCTCCGAGGGCCACCAAAACCACTGCCAAATCCAGCTTTTAATTAAACCCTGCCTGTTGTGTTTGGACAGGGCCCTTTAGGCTGGAAATTGTTTTCCATTGTCAGGAAAAATTGGACTTTCAACTCCACTGATTGGTGTTGTTCCTGCTGCCAAGGAGCAGGGGATGGATTTTGGGCGAGGAGATGTTTTCCTCTCGAGATCCAGGCACGATTTCCTCTTCCAGCAGTTTTGGTTTCAGACGAGGAATATTGGAGAGAAAATTATCAACACGACTTTAAAATCCCAGTCATCCACTCAGCAGAGGTTAAAGTTCCACTGAAATTGGAATAAAATCTCTGCTGTGTCCCTCACTGTGATAAAACTCATCCCAATTCCTCTGAAAAAAACATTCCTGGATGGAATCAAAGCTTCTAAACCTGATGAGAACCCACATGCTGGGAAAACCAGATCCTAGCATGGAATTCACTTCCACAGTCTGAAATGAGATATTTGCATATGTCTTAATTTGAAGAAAAGTCCTTTCTCTTTTGTGCTGTTTTAAAAAGGGTAGGAGAGAAGTGGGGCTGTCCCTGCCACCAATTCCTGCCCCAGCAGGAGATCTGGGAAGGTAAAATCCACCCAGGAGATCCCTGTGGGATCCAAACGAAAGGAATTGCCTTCCTGAGAAGGAAGGATGGGTGCAGAGACACCAACCTGGATGCTGGGACGTTTGTCCCAAGCTTTGTGCCTGGAGAAGGAGGCAGGGGACAGGTCCTGTCCTGTCCTGTCCACCAGGTGCAGATGAGGGTCCCCAGTGCAGGCAATGGGATGGGTCACCTCCAGGAGCCAGGAATCTTCATTTTCCATGGAATTCCTCTGGCTCCTGTGTGTTTCCATGGAATCTGAACTCGAGTGGATGTTCAGTCCTTCAACACATTGCTCATGCTTGTGCCTCCTTCAGGTTGCAGGGATTTCTGGGAAAAACATCTCCAATCTCCTTAAAGCTTTAATTCCATTGAATCCTTTGCCAGGAATCTCAGTTTTCCATGGAATTTCTCTGAGTCTGAATGGAGTCTGAATTTCAGTGGATGCTCAATCTTTCACCACATTCCTCATGCTTGTGCCTCTTCAGGTAGCAGGAATCTCTGGGAAAAACATCTCCAATTTAAAAGTTTTCATTTCATTGAATCCTTTGTCAGAAACCTCAGTTTTCCATGGAATTCCTCTGGCTCCTTTGTGTTTCCATGGAGTCTGAGTATCAGTGGATGCTCAATCCTTCACCACATTCCTCAAGTTGTTCTCTTCAGGTTGCAGGAATCTCTGGGAAAACCACCCCCAATTTTAAAGCTTTAATTCCAATGAATCCTTGCTCCAGGAATGTTTTCCTCAAACAACCACAGCACCCAGTGGTGGAGCTGCCCTGGGCACACCAGGTGACAACTGAGGATGATTCCAGCTCATTCCAAAGAGGAAAAGCCCTCAGAGCTCACACCCTGTCCTTGTCCACCCTCTTGTTCATGAGAACTTGGCTGAATTGGTTTTCCCACCCCAAAAGTGTCTGTAGAACATTCTAATCCCACTGAATTGGTTTTCCCACCCCAGAAGTGTTCATAGAACATTTCAATCCCACTGAATTGGTTTTCCTATCACAGAAGTTCAAATCCCACTTATTTGGTTTTTCCACCCCAAAAATGTCTGTAGACCAATCCCAATCCCACTGAAGGAGTTTTTCCACCCCAAAGGTGTCTGTAGAACATTCCAATCCCACTGAATTGGTTTTCCCATCACAGAAATCCCAATCCCACTTAATTGTTTTTTCCACCCCAAAAATGTCTGTAGAACATTCCAATCCCACTGAATTAGTTCTTCCAACCCCAAAAGTGTTTATAGAGCAATCCCAAACCCACTGAAGGAGTTTTTCCACCCCAAAAGAATCTATAGAACGTTCCAATCCCACTTAATTGTTTTTTCCACCCCAAAAGTATCTGTAGAACATTCCAAGCCCATCCTTGTGGCCAAGCCAAACACAACAGAATCATTTTTATTTATTCCCTTCTGTTTTGGAGCCCTGGATATTGGGAATTTTGGATTTTCTGTGCTGAACAGGCACTGACCCACAAGAAAACACAGCTTTTGACTTGAGGCTATGGAGAAAGTGTCCAAAATTGAATAATAAAACTGAAATCACTGGTGTGTGTTTTAAATAGAAGTGTGTAATGTCACGTGGTAGAAAATTTAGAATGTAAGGTTTTAAAATATAATAATATGTGGAAAACAAGATGGAAGTTTTGGGCCAGAGGTTTCTTTTTTCTTCACCTTCTTCCTCATAGGTCTAAGTGGTCCTTTTGTAATTGGATAGAAAATTCCACATTACAAGTCAGGGGTGTGTGGTTATTGGTTAAAAGTAAAAATAATTTAGGTGTCAGTTCTTAATTAGATAGATTAGCCCTTAAAAGGCCTTGTAGAGAAAAAAAATCATCACCATTTTTAGCTTGTTACCTAGAAGTGCTGTAGCATTCACTGTAACATAAATGAGAATTAATAAACATCTGTGTCTGAACATGAAATTCCGTCCCTTGAGCATTTAATCCCGACTCTAACAGGAAAAAAACCCAAACAACCAAACAAAAAACCTCTGGATATTTTTTATTTATGTGCCTCTGCTCTGCTGGATGTTATTTTATTTATCACACTCTGCTCCTTTTTTTTTTTTTTTTTTTTTTTTTCCAGCTCATCTTTGAAGGGATCCGTGGCCCTGGAATCGAAGGGGACATTGCTATTGATGATGTGTCCATTGTGGAAGGAGAGTGTATGAAATCAGACCAACCTGCCAACAGTGAGTGCCTTGTCCCCACAGGTCACTTCCTGCCTTTCCACTTCCCAAATGGATCTTTTCCAGCAGGACAATGGTTCTTCTCTTGGGTTCAGCTGCGAGGTTTCAAGTGGAATTCCGTGGGAATGCTTTGCTGGGATGAGGAGGTGCTGGATGGGTGAGGCTGGGTTGGATTTGAGATGCTCAGGCAGAAAAAACGACATCAGAACAATGTCCAGGGAGCCCAAACAATGTGGAATCCCTGAAAATCCCAGCTGTGATTCCCTGAGGGCTCTGTCCCATCCCTCACCCTGTGAGTGCATTTAAACAGAGGTAACGACACAGCCAGCTGGATTTTCATCCCATTCCTGCTCCATCCAACTGGTGAGGGATGTCCTTGTCCTCCAGTGGTGGGAGGTGACTTTGGAACACTGTGGCAATGCTGAGGGGGCGTGGGAGCCTCTTTAATTCCATTTTTCTCCCCTTTTTGCAGATCTACGATCAGGTGCTGTTGGGCCATTAGCACATATACGACTTCTCCCACTCCTCATCCTCATGTCTGTCTTAAGTCATCAGAGGTGACCTTATCCTGGCAGAGGCTACAAAAGAATCACCAGGCACTGGCATGAAGAAAGAGTCTTTGTAAAATGGACATTTCCAAACAAGCTACCAAAGATTCCTCCACTGACTGACTCGAAAGTTAAATAAATACGTAAATAAATAATAAATAATTAAAAAAAAAATAAAAATTAAAAAATGACAGATTAAGAAAGCACTGGGGACTTGAAAAGGCATTCACGGGAGTGGAACTCACTAAGAACCAAGCTTGAGACCGAGATCTGGCCTAAGGAAGGAAGAGACCTTCAGGTGCTTTTGTGGTCACTGATGAATTCAGCATCATCTGGTTGAACTCTCAGCAAAGAGCTCTAGAAACCCTTGTCAAAGCACAAAGTCACGGCTGGTTTTGTTTCAAATGAATCGTTTGCTTGTTACCATGGAAACCGAATGGCCTGCCAAAAATAAAAAATAAAAAAAAAAAATAAAAAAAAAAATAAAAAGAGGAAGGCGAGAAAGGGGAAATACAAACCCAGAGAGAGAGAGAGAGAGAAACACCTCACTGTAAACAGGGTACGTGGAGAGCTGGCGTTCATTTTCCCTTCCCGAAGGTTTTTTGGCGTAGAGTTAAACAAATGTCGGCCCTTTGTACTTGGGCTGCCGCCTGCCCTGGAGGATCACCCGCAATCGGAGCTGTTTGCAGACATTTCCCTTTTCATTCCTCACGGCTCTGCTTGGTGACTGTGTGCTGTCTCCTTTTGCATGCATTCCCATCCAGGATGTGCCACCCGGGCTTACATTTGTCACAGGCTTCACTGGGAGTTTGCTCGCGGCCGCTGGAAGATTCCCTCTCCCCTCTCCCCACCGGAGTCATCAGCTCTACGGAAAGTGAAGAAACCAAACCACACCGTCTTTTATAAAATTGCCATGGAAACCAAGTGCCTTCAATGAAACAAGCCTGATTTCAAAAAAAAAAAAAAAAAAAAAGAACAAACAAACAAACAAACAAAAAACCACAAAAAAAAAGAACAGAGTATATATATATATATATATAAATATATATATAAAAATAAAAATGTAATAACGACGATTTCAACACGGATGCTTTGCGCCGCTTAAAGAGCGCGCGTCGTGCAAACTCTTTTTCTAAACAAACTCTGGAGCCTGGGTGTGCAGGCAAGGAGACGGAGCCGCTTCTGGAGAAGGATGGATGGACCTAAGGTGCCGTGGGATGAGATCCGTGTTTGTGCAGCCTTCCAGACAGCCACGGCCTTTCAGCTTCGTACCCATTCGAAACAGCTCCCGCCGGTGCTGCCGGTGCGAGCGGCACTCGTCGTCGTCGTCGTCGTCGTCGTCGTTTCAGGTTCTCCAGTGGGTCAACCAGAGGAACAAAGGTGGTTCAGACACGCACTCGGTGCAGAAGGTGGTGAAACACGGGATTGGTTTTTTTGTTTTTTTTTTTTTTTTCTTATTCTCCCCCCACCTCTCCGTTGGGATGGGCTCCCGAAATCCGGAGCTCCGGATGCGCCGAGGGGGTTTGTGCCTCTGCCCCGCAGCCAGACTCGGTGCAGAGGGTGGAAGGTTGTTTTGTTATTGTAGCGAAATTCAAACAAACAAACAAACAAACAAACAAACAAA